TTTGCAGACATTGTCTGTTAAGTTAGCATGAGGTCATACTGTAGTAGAAACTCCCCAAAAAACCAAACCTTTTGACATCGAGTTGATTCTGATTCATGGCAACTCCATTTGTGGCAGAGTAGAACTGTGCTCCATAGAGTTTTCAAGGCTTTCAGAAGCAAATTGCCAGGCCTTTCTTCCGAAGCACCTCCAGGTGGGTTTGAACAGCCAATCTTTCAGTTAGCAGCTGAGCTCTTAACCAACTGTAGTAGGGTAGGTTCTACTCCTATATGAGTGGTGTCCTTATAAAAGAGAAGAGATCCAGAAACAGAGACCCAGAGGGAAGACGGCCATGTGAAGGTGGAAGCAGAGACTAAGATGATGCAGCTACAGGCCACAGAAAGCCTGGGGCTACCAAGAGCTGAGAGAGACAAGAAAGGATCTTCCCCTAGAGACTTCAGAGAGCATGGCCCTGCCAACACCTTGAATTCAGACTTCTAGGCTCTAGAACTCTGAGACAATTCATTTCTACTCTTATAAGCCACCCAGTTTGTGGCACTTTGTTATGGTAGCCCTAGAGACTAATACAGGGTCCCAAGTGCCCAGAACAGGGGTTAGTACAGAGCACGTGTTGGTAAGTGTATGCTAATGAATGATGGACAGATAAATGCGTGGAAAGATGGGCACACTATGGTTTTGGGTGAACATGTACATGGTCAGAGGTTACCCTGGGCAGTGAAATCATTTCCAGCTGCCTTCTACTGGTGAGGCTCAGGCTGCCACTATCCTCCCTGCCTGGGTCAAGGCTGGTGATGTCAGCTTAAGAGGCCATGGCAGGCAACCTCTAGCCCCACCTGCTGAACTCAATTGCCACAGGAAATATGGATGTTAATAAACCCGTTGCCATCAAGCTGATTCCGACTCATAGAGATCCTACAGGACAGAGTAGAACCGCGCCATAGTTTTTACAAGGAGTGGCTGGTGGATTCGAACTGCCGACCTTTTGGTTAGCAGCTGAACTCTTAACTGCTGCACTACCAGAGCTCCATGGATGTTAACGGAGGGTACGAAAACAGGCGGAATCCAGGCACTGGGTGGGCCTGCGTCTGAATGTCTGTGTGTAAGTGCCTATGTCACTGGAGTGTGCCTATGTGCATGTTTACATGCGTGGACATGCATGCCTTGTCTGTGTGTTTTGTGTGTGTACAGGACTATGTATTTGCATGTGTGTATCTCCCCGCAAATCCTTACAGCAGCTCCCTGCCCAGCACAGCTCCCCCAGCCCACACCTTCCATAGCACCTCTGCCCCTCTGCCTCCCTCGTGCCCCTCCTGGGACATGCCACATCCAGCCTCCTTGTCCTGGGCTCCTGTGTCCTGTACATACCTCTGCAATTGCATGTATCACACTGCAGCTCATTTGTATAATACTGTAATAGTTTCCTATTACTGCTATAACACAATACTACAAACTTAGTTGCTTAAAACAACTCAAATTTATTATCTTACATTTCTGGAGGTCAGGAAGTCTGACATGGGTCTAAAAAATCAAGGTGTTGGCAGTGCTGTCTTCTTTTCAGGAGATTCTAGGGGAGAATCTGTTACTTGCCTTTTCCAGCTTCGAGAGGCTGGCTACATTCCTCAGCTTGTGGCTCCCTTCCGTCCTCAAAGCCAGCAATAGCTAGTTGAGTCTTTCTCACATTGCCTCACTCTGACTTCCTCTCCTGCCTCCTTCTTCCACTTATAAGGACCCTTGTGATGACCCTGGGACCACCTGGGTTATGCAAGGTAATCGCTCCACCTCAAGGTCAGTTGATTAGCAACTTTAATTTCATCTGCAACCTAATTCTCCTTGTATGTAACAGAACATATTTACAAATTCTAAGGGTTCGGTTGTGGACATCTTTGGGGGACCATTATTCTGCCTACTACAAACGATCTGTCTCTGCTTTAGGCTGTGAGTTTTTGGGCCTAAACTCTATTTTACTGATTCAGAGATTCCTTGGTACCAATACAATGCCCAGCATGCACTAGAGTTTATTACATATTTATTGAATAAATCTGATTCAACCAACAAGTTATTGAGAATCCATTTTTTGCTGGGTACTTTCCTATGTGTCATCTCATTCCTTATCCCTATTTTATAGGTGAAGAAAACGAGACTCACAGAAGTTAGGAACCACCCAGGGGCAGAAAGCTAGTAAGTGACAGAGCCAGAAGCTGCAATGTACATTGGTCTCAGGTAGAAAATGCTAACACTTCTGTTGAGTCTAGAGCTCCAAAAGAGAGATGAACCCCCTAGACCTTTGATGGTGGCCATAAAAACGCAGCTTGCAGACTGCAGGGATAGTAAATGACTGATGGCCCCAGCTGCTGCGATATCTGTTACTGCGTTTGCGTGGAGGTCCATGGGCTGTTCCTAGCCAATGAGTAAGGCAGGTCCATTTTTGGGCGATGCAGAACGTCCGACAGGCAGTTTTGGCACAAGGCATCACCATGGTCTTGCCAAACTTTCTTACATCTGTACTGCAGTCTTCTTCCACCCAACCTTCATTCCTTCCCTGTGTCCTTCACAGGGGTCAGACCTGCATCATGGTCTGACAGCCTTTCCAGCCTACCATGGCTCCCTGCCCACTGTCCCTCACAGGTGTTTCCCCTATAAATCGCTTGCACATCTTATCTTGTCCTGGCGTCTACTTCTTGAAGGATCAGAAATAACACTAATGGTACTGAGAGTGGTCTGAGGAAACAGGTGGTAAGATGGGGATTTGGGACTGTCTCCGAGTAGGTGGTGGAAGAGGATGCCTCCTGGCCGATGGTGGGTCACAAATAGTCCAGGCACAAAGTAGTAGCTCACATGCTAAATACTGCACTGGTGGTGACTGGGAAAATTTCTTGGAAGAAGAATGCTGTGGCAGGTGTGACGATTCAGGCATTTGCAATATACAGAGGAAACAATGCCTACAAAGAGTTGGTTGGTCACTGCTAAGTTGTATTGATGCCCTGAAGAGGGATAATGAGAGACCGAGAGCCATTAACAAGCAGTTACTGGCTAAGTCGCTTACAAAGAGCCCTTATCTCTTACTGTGAAGAACAGATACAGCTGAGTGGCAGGCTGAAGATCTGTTAGAGGGGCAAAGTTCCAGAGATGTTTGAATGCTCACTAAGGCAGTTGTGTGAAGGTCAGGGTCCTGGTAGGGACAATCTGGAACCCTGAAACATGAGATACAGCCACTAGGACGGATGTCCCTGAGGATGTTGATACTGCTGCCTCCCTGGGCTTGCAGAGATGGCCTACCTTCCAGGAAGAGCTACCACCTCTGCTGTGCTGAATGGTGCTACAGAGTCCTCACCCACACCAGGCGACAGGTCCTCCCCCTCTCCACCTCAGGAGCTGCCCCTACCTTCTCTCCTGACTGCAGGATGATATTGGGTTGAATTCCAGAATCATCTGGCTGAGGACATGCTGGGCCTGATAAGGGAGAAAACAGACTATACCCCAAAAGAATATAAGGTTTAACCATCATGTGATTTAGGAAATAATATTGGAGTTATTATTCCCTCTCCTTGAGCATGGAGAATTGTGACCCAGCTGGGGCTGAGCCCTCACAGACTCACAAAGACACATCAACTGGGCGCTGAGATAAGACAACAGATGGGACAATCTCAGAGATTATTTTAAGGAAGTTTTCACAAAAGGGCAATAAAACCTAACCCAAAGGACTTCTCACCTTTTGTCTTTTTCTATTAACATTTAGTGAATAGGAATTTGTTGGACCAATGAAGACGCTCCTGACTTTCGTAACTGAAACCCGTACCAATGATTATTAAGAAAGATGATTCAAAATGTAAGATTACGATTTCTAGCCAATCAGTGAAAAAGTGATGCTTTCAATGATTCTACCCATTTTGTGATGCTGATATATACTGATGATTCTGTGACCTTCCTTGGACTCGGCCAGACATGGCTGTGGCAGCATGCTTGTCCGCTTCCCACTTTTGTCCTTTTGAATAATGCCGAATAAAACTTTCTTTTTACTTTACTAAACTTTGTGATATTTTTCCCCTACAACACATGCATTCTGGTAGGAGCCAAGACAGTACTCCTGGGACTGGACTTTGAGAGTGCTCAATTAAGGGGGCTGAAATGTAAGACTGGATAAGTGAGAATTCATTTAGCTGGGGGCACTTTCTTGGGACACAAGATTTAATAGTCTAGCTAGGACATCAGGGAACGGGGCAGTCTCTGCTGGGGTGGCTCTTCGAAGTCTGGAAAAAGTGATGGGCAACACTCAGCAAAGTGGAAATGCCTGAGTTTTTCTGGCAGATAGTAGAGGAAGAAATAAAAAAAGCTGAGGAAAACTAACATGCTGTAATGGCTATATTATGTGATGCCAGTAATGACCGGCAGGGACAGAGGGGCAGCCAAGGGGTCTTGACCCACAGAAAGTTGTGGAGATGGTTAATGGACTGAGGAAACCTGAAAGCTCAAGGAGGGTGTCCCTGACCTCACTTTGAGTCTTGGTGGCTGTTGGGGGCCCTCCTATGTGGCTCAGAGGGGAGTCCTGGATGTCGTAGGATTTAGAGATTCAGCCCTGAGATGAAGACTTGCATTCATTGTTGTCTGCACAACTTGATGTGGCCAAAGTTAAACTCCAAGGGCTTAACTACAGGAAGTGTCATCCAGAACTGCAATCACTGATTGTTCCTTTATGCTATTTAACAATTGCCTGAGGCAGAAAAATCAGATACCCAACCAGAGTTTACCTCCTCATGGCTAAAATTTTCACAAATTGCCACATACCAAAGTGGTGAAACTATGACCCAGAAGACGTAAATGACTTAGCCAACTTCGCACAACTTCGCACGTCTTAGTAGAGGGTGGGCCTGGCGGCAGGAACCAGAAGCTTGGGTGCAGGTCCCAACCTGAACTCCGCAGCAGTGTGGGCAGTACCTAACCCATGCGGCCCTCCTGAGTGCCATGCACTGCAAAATGAACTTCACTGCACAGTAAATGAGGGATTTTTTTCTTAAGAAATAAATTTAATTCAAGGTGGTTAGTGAAGGTAAGGCATGTAGCGCCTCTATGAACGTTAAAAGAATCCAGTTACAAAAGCACTGTGTTTGTACAGTCTCAAATAGCTGAAGGTACAATGGGCTCCATATTTTACAAAGTACAAAAAATTATTTCATATACAAAGAAAATACAAATAATGTGCAAAAACCATTTTCACAGGTGGCAATTTATAAATGAAAATGATAGAAAAGTCCTTCATTCTTGTTATCTCCCAATTTCTTATATATTAACACAGTTCTATTTCCTAGTGTGCAGATAATTTTAAATTTAAAAATCTGATTTATTTTTAATCTAAAAAGACAAAGTGGTTTTTTATCTTTAAAAAAGGGAATAGTTTCACTACTAAAGTCTTACGAATCAGCTTAGTTAATTTTATATTAAATTATAAGCAGACTGTCTGAAAAACAAGAATATAGAAATCATATATACACATTTTTGAAATATTAGTTTGATATTTAACATATTAACATTTCAAAACAAATGCAATGATCTAGCTACTATGACTCCAGTTGGCGCCAGTGGCTACAGCAGAGGTGCTGTTTCTGTTCACTGTGAGCAAACAGTATTCATCAGATCCTAAGCTGAACAAACACAAGGTTATCAAACGTAAAGAAAATCTAAAAGTTCTTACTTTTCTTGTACAGCAGTGGTGTCTGGGTGTCCAGTCCCACCACGGTCTGACCAGTCTACACACCTGTCGCAGGTGTTGTGTAGTCATAAATGGCTGGCCTCTGTCTTTCCAACGTCTTCCCTTCATTAGGAGTTCAGTGCAAGTGTTTGTTTTGTGGGTTAGTGCATTCAGCTTTTTGCATGTTATTTTGTGTAGGAAGCTGACAGGGAGCAGAAGAAAACACTGGAGCACAAGGCCCTAAATCCTCAGAGCACCTCTGGTCTAGAGAATGTAGTGTTCTAGAGGCAGTATTTTCCTGCACTGGCCTGGTCATTGATTGCAGCATCACTCCCTGGACCATCTTTTTCCATCAGGATAGTCCTGTGCTCTCCCTCTGCCTGCCACTGAGCACCGAGGCCTCTTGCTGTGAACCCCAAGGGCACAGCAGGGATTATGGAAGCAATTTTTGGCAGCACCAGAGAACTGAGCATCTCTAAGGTCAGGCAGTAAGAGTAGGGCCTCTGATGGGAAACCCATTCTATGTAGCATGTAGGGTGATCTTGGAGGGGTTCTTGTTTGCCAAAAAGCTCTCCAAGGAAATCATGATCTTGAGAAGAAGGACCCAAGTCGGTGGTAGCCATTTTGCCTAGAAGATGGATGACAAGTGGCTCAGGAGGCATTCTTCTGATCCCTAATCACTAAGACCCTGTTAGAACAATTTAGTGCAAGATACAGGGAGTTCCTGGGGCGCGTGACCAGACCTGTGTGACACACCCATGCAGGTTAAGTAGACACAGCTACAGCTGAAAGGGGAACTGGGTAAGACCGGGCAGGAGAGCCTCAGGCCCTGGGATGATTCATCAGAACCGAAAGGAAGCTGTCAGCTCCATGCTCTTCTTTTCTATCTGGCAGCATGAGTCCATCTCTCTCTTCTGCTCGGACTGACCACGGGCATCAGGCATCAGAGATACAGCTCTGGATCCTGTCCATCCATTGCTGGGCACTTTGTCCATCCTGGGCACAGAAGTTATACACACGTTTGCTAGTCTTGAGCTACAAAACGAAATGACAGAGATACCATAGATGAAGGGCAGGGCTGTTTTATGGCTTTGGACAAGTATGCAAATCAATCCATTCCTATACTGCCCTGGAATCTGTCTTCCCTCTCTCCTCCACTGCCATACTGTTACTGCCTTCACAGTCACTTTACTTTTCTAGCCCCAAAGTCACAGGGAATGTTAATAGAAGGGTTCTGGCCTAGAAAGAAGACACACTAGGAGAGCCTTATTTTGCATCTTCTGGGGCTTTCCTTGACTAAGGAGGAAGGGAGAGTCAGGAATGGCCATAACTAAAGCCTCTGTCCACTCCCACACTCCACACCAAAGCAAAGCAGGGGTCACGGCAGCTCCCTGTGCTCCAAGGAGAAGCCTGAGATTCAACCATGCTGTGATGAAAGTGGCCTTTGTGTCCCCTTTCTATCCCCTTCTCTAGTCTTCAGTTGGGACCACACTGAAAGCCCAGAGTCAGGGAAATGGATTCATGGCCTGAGCAGAGCCCTGGATGACCTCTGCCTCTCATGAAGCCCTGCTTCCTCTATGGTTCTCCAGAGCACTGCTCGGCTCCAGGGACTAGATAGGTCTTCCTCTATTGTGTAGCCCATAAAATCCCCCAGGGCCCAACTAAAGGCTGCTGAAGATGTTAAGGCAGACAGCTGGCACGTGTGACCATCTTCTTTTTGCTGATGGCTGAGCAAGAAGACCACTGGATACAGAGGGAGGTAGCATCTGTTCTTGAAAGTAGGTGGTGACCGAAATAACTAACATTAACAAGGATTTCATCTGCTTTCACATATGGTTGGACTCCTTTTGAAGGAATCCTTTGTGCAAAGCACTGTGCAGCCTGTCTGAGACATCTGGAGAGCTAGGAGAGAGGTCAGGCTTGTGGATCAAGAGTGCCGAGCTCAAGTTCTGTAGCAATTCCTATCACCAGAGGGTCTGTGACCTATGTGCAGTCACCACCAATTGCTCTGAGGTCCCCAGAATTCTTGGAGGTGGATGGATTGTAAGGAATCAAGTGTAGGCAGAGCCAGGGTAGGAGAAGTAAGATGCACTTACATCAAAGAAAGCCTTGTCACTTGTGTGCTTTGGGGCTCCCATGCTGGGGCCAGCAGGGATGACCATTTCCACTTCAGCCAGATCAATGTGGCCTTTACAGTTTGTGTCCTCGCCCGAGTCATAGTAACGCAGCTGGAACCGAAAGGATACAGATGGGATATGAGACACAGAAAGAGAAAACAGCATGGCTTTTCAAACTGTATTTGAATACTTTCCTCTGTATCTACACAAGTCTGTAACTGTATATATGTGTGTGTATGCAGGGGGGTTATGCCAGGTTACAGTTGGGAGAGCACTGTACCTGAGTCAAGCTGAATAGTTTTCAAGCTTGAAAGTGCTGAATAGTTTTCAAGTTTGAAAATACTAGCAACATTGTTGTTGTTGGGTATGTCGAGTCAATTCCGACTCATAATGACCCCATGTGACAGAGGAGAACTGTCCCATAGGGTTTTCTTGGCTATAAGCTTTAAGGAAGCAGATCGTCAGGTCTTTCTCCCGTAGAGCAGCTGAGCAGGTTCAAACTGCCAGCCTTTTGGTTAGCAGCCGACTGCTTAACTGCTGCGCCAGCAGGGTTCCTTGGGAGAGCACTGGACTGACAGGATTGCACTCTGTCTCTGAGCTCCCACTGTCTAACTTTATACCAGATGGGGAGCTCTCGAGGGCACACTGTATCTCATTCATCTCTCTAGTCCCAAAACTGAACACAAGAGTAGACAATAAATGTTGTGAATGAATTCACTCTGAATGATCCCGGGCAAGTTCCTTCCTCTCTGTCCCTTCCTCTCTCTGGGCCTTATCTGTAAAGAAAGGGAAGGATCTAGGTCGGGGAGAGCCTTTCAGGCCCTGTCAGTCTGTGAGTCTGACCGTCTCTATCTAGAAGGCCGAGGTCAGAGCCACAACCTGTCAGTTAGAAGACAGCAACACTGCTAGCAGTTTTCACAAAACAATTTGCGTTTGAGTCTGTGAGAATCGATCTTTAATCTGAGCTAGAAGAGGAGCGGCATTGATGGTGGTGAGGGGGAGGGAGAAGAAGAGGTAGGAAAGAGAATCATGGTTTGAGCCTAAGCTAGGACATGTATTCTTTTTGACGATTCAGACCATGCCCACCAACTGGAAAGATGGTGGTGACTTATGTCTAGGTTTTATCTAATATCTCTTTTGTTAGACATAAAAGCTACCAGCCCAGAGTAGGAAGGAAGTTCAAGTTCAGGAAATTAGGCAAGTTATTCAAAGTGCTGCTTAGCAGAGGCAGAAGATAAACCAGCAGCATCCACACTCAAAATGCATGACATCAGATCAGTCAGATGCCTTAAATACAGAGCTGGTTAAATAAGAATAAAATTGAGCTTTCCCACAAGCCAGGCAGAGAGGTTTGCTAAGGGACCGGCAGAGAAAAGTCTGAATATAGGTTATCATTAGATACATTTCTGAAAGAAATCAGAGACTTTTTTTGGAGAGAGTTACAGAATGTTAACTGGTTCCATTTCTAGTGATTTGTAGCCTAGACAATCTGATAATTCTCCTGCTAGAAGTGCTGGATAAAATACATAAAACAGATTTTTAATCACATACCTCAGGGGATGGGCTGCTGGTCAATTGCCTGTTTTTATAAAGTTTATTGGTTTAACAGCCATGCCCATTTGTTTACATATTATCTACAATGGCAGAGCTGAGTAGCTGTGACAGTGACCCTATGGCCCACAAGCCTAAAATATTTACTCCTTGGCTCTTTAAGAGAAAAGTCTGCCAACTTCTGACATAGCTACATCCCCAAGAAAGTAGGAGAAATCATAAAGGGCCCCAAAATAGCAAGTATGAACTAGCAAGCTCTTTATGTTCTGATATAAATGACTTCCAGAATATAGTTTTGAATCAAATAAATAAACAAGAACAACAAACGAGATGCAGAATACTGCATAGCATGCTGCCATTTGTATAAAGGTAGGGGAACAAATATTTATATACATTTGCCTGGTGGTGCAGTGGTTAACAGTTTGGCTGCTAACCAAAAGGTCAGCAGTTAGAATCCACGAGCTGCTCCTTGGAAACCCTATGGGACAGTCCTACTCTGTCCTATGGGATCACTATGAGTCAGAATTGACTCGACGGCAACAGGTATCATATATGCTACACTATGTCTGGAATAATACACAGGAAATCGATAACCTTTAGGGAGAAGTGGGTGACTGGGAAAAACGGGTGGAAAAAAAAAACTTACGTACTTTTTTGAAATTTAAACAAATACCTGTTACCTATTAAAAATAAATAAAATGAAATAAGTTAACTCACAACTGTAAAAAATATGTAACATATATAAAAAGGGAGTTAATATTTGAGAAGGAGTCCTGGGTGGTGCAAATGGTTAAGCACTGGGCTACTAACTGAAAGGTTGGTGGTTTGAATCCACACAGAGCACCTCAGAAGAAAGGCCTGGTGATCTGCTTCTGAAAGGTCACAGCTATAAAAACCCCATGAAGTAGATTTCTACTCTGCACATATGGAGTCACCAATGAGTTGGAATCGACCAAAGACAACTTTTTTTTTTTAATGTTTGGAATATATAGTTCCTAGAAACTGATAAAAAAGAACAACAATCTAGTAGAAAAACAGTCAAAGGATTTCCACAGGCAAGTCATAGAAGAAATACAAATGACCTACTAATATTTGAAAAGATGATCAAGCCTCACCGATCAAAGAAAAGTAAATGAAATCAAATGAGATTTCGCTTCTCATCAATCAGACTGACAAATATTAAAAATGGCTGATAATATCCAGGTTGATGAGAGTGTTAAGACATTAGATACTCTCAAATATTGTTAATGGGAATATAATTTGTTAGAACCTCTTTGGAGAACAATTTGGCAATATCAAATAAAATTTAAAATGTTTATGCCTACTGAACATCTTTCCCAATTCTAGAAATTTATCCTACAGAAACACTCCCACAAGCATGCAAAGATACACGTGTAAAGATGTTTCCTTCAGCACTGTTTTTATCAGCTAAAAATGGGAAAAGACGTACCATTCTTTCAATGGGGCATTAGTTAATTAAATGACACCACACCAATACAATGGAATACTATATGGCTTTTTAAAAAGCATGTGGAACATCTATACGAACTGAGAGGAAAAAAAATGTTCAAGATAAGTTACGTAAAAAAATCAAGTTGCTAAATACCATGTAGGTATAATGTGATTTTTGAAAAACATAAGAAATAGCTTAACATTTGATTGAATGGTTACTATGTGCCAGTACTGTTCTAATTGCTTTATGTGTATAACTAATTTAATCCTCAGTGCAATAAACACACACACACACACACACACACACACACACACACACACACACACACACACACACACACGCTCTCAAATTATTTAGAGCAATCTGTACCAAACTGTTAATAGTGGTTATCTCTGGGAACTGGGAGTACAGGAGACTTTTACATTTTTATGAAATGTTTGAATTTGTTATAATAAACATGCATTACTTTTGGAACAAGAAAAATTAGAAAAATGTTGTTTAAAATTAAAGAGATTGCTTCTGAAAAAGCCTAACTGGTCCATAATCTGTGGATTTTCCTTTCTAATGTACATGGCAGGAACATGCCTGGTGCCTCTGTCATTGTGGTTCTGGCCTCAGACTTTTCTGTCTCTCCTTTCAGGCATAGTATAAACAGAGTTAAATAGAAAAACTGAATACCTTTTGTGTTAAAGAAATCCAAAAGATCAGCAAGAATGCAAGTATAATTTGATGTAATTGTAAATTACAGAAAAACTATGACATTCTCCTATGTTATATTTAGTGGTTTAATGGAACTTTTCTACACAGTGTAGGCTCTATGATTTTAGAGACATTATCATTCTAAAGTACAACCCCCTAAAAAGGGCTTCTATTTGTATATTTGAAAATAATTTCTCTATATTCTCCCACAAAGACTCGTGTCTTCTAGATGCAGGTTCCACCAGAGCATTGTATAGGGCTAAGAGTTCATGTCTTTCTCAACTGGCTCCTTTTATAGATGAATATAATGAGAATCAACATGTGCAATCCTCTGCCTCAAGGCCGACTGGGCAGTTACAAGGTGGGGCGAAGCCTGCAGTCAGAACATGGGCCACACAACTCTCACTAGTGAAAGGTGCAGAGGGGCTGGAGGTCTGAGTAGAGATCATGCTCCCCTGAGATCACTGGAACAAAAATGATGACACTAAGGGATTGTGGGTGCTGCTACAGCAATAGTTAAGAATGTGACAATGGGTAAAAGATTTCCTGACATGGTCAGCAAGGTCCAGTCTAATATCTGCCCACTGGTGAATCCCAAGTTTGGACAAGCATATCGCAGTCTGCATGTTTCGGGACCCACTTCCCTGTTGATGCCATCTTTGAGGGATAACGATGCCTTGTTCAGTAACCAATACAGTCATGGGCATAGAGGAGGTATTCAATAAAGTTTGTTAATAAACTAATGTCCTTAGTTTTGACTGGATCCTTTATGCTGAAAGGACAAAGGTAACCTGTTTTCTGGAGAGGACTCACAGGCATAGGCTCTATATATGCATGTGGTATTGCAGTGGGCTGAAAACCTCAGGTCTTCTCTGACTTGGGCTGTAAGAGCAGGCAGCAGGAGGTATCCAGGCATTAAGAAGAAGGGTTCTGTGGCTCTTAAAGCTCTGGGCTCAACTGTCATTGTCTACAGTATTCCAGGCAGAGCTACTTTGGAACTTCCCTCAGAAGGCTACTGCTCCAGCTCAGGAACATTCTGGGGCCCTGATGCAGCCCCACAAGGTGCATGTGAGAGGCTCTAGGAAAGTAGTCTGTGTATGAGGAAGCTGTCTGCTGAGGGTCACAAAGCTGGGGGCTGATATCAGCCTAGAGAAAAATAATTTCTTTTGGTTTTGACAGTATTACCTGATGTTTTGTTACGTCCAAAACAAACCAACGGGGCTTCCAACCTTTCAGCAAAGCCCCTCTTTTGTAAAGAGTTCCCTCAAAGGACCTAGAATAAATGAAATGATGAGAGGACAATTAATTTTGATTTTTCATTTTAAAAGTGCTATAAAGGGGACATCTGCTGTTTTTGTTTGTCAAGTCCCTATTTCTTCTAGGTGATACAAGAAGAACAAATAAGAGGTCTCTCTGGGATTTTTCTCCTGGACTTTTGGGAAAAGACTACCTCTTTCTGCTGAGATGACTAAGTTTGTGAGATTTGGAACTATCAATAGCCATCTTTTGTGCCAAACTGGGATTTAAGCAACACACAGGGGAAAGCAGAGCTAGGAAAAAGACAGAAGCCTCAAGAGACTCTGTGAGTCCCCAGATCCAGAAGTGTCTGAAACAGCGTGCTGTTGGCTTTCCTAGTTTATGTCAGTAAATTTCTTTTTGCTTCAGTTAGCATGCGCTGGATTTCTGATGTTTGCAACTGAAAAAGTGCTAACACACATTTCCTCAAAACATCTGGCATACATGAGATAATGACAATGAGGACTGTTACACACAACTACAACCTCTTGGCATTATTTTTAACTGTAATTTTGATTTTTTTCTCTTCAAAGAACCATCTAAAGCATAAAAACTAAAAAGAAATAAACACCACCCCCCAAAATAAAAACCAAAAAGGAACTGAAAGTAAATCCATTTCAAGTTTTCAAAAGGCTGAATTGCACAGGCCCAGCTTATTGAAGGGCCTGTGGCTTAGCCTTAGGCAGGGTGGGAGGGCCTTTTCAGCACACCCAGCAGGGCTCAGCTGTTACCTGTTTTCATCATTCTTGGACGTGTACTGGCTGTACAGCGTGGCGGCTCTCCGGTCCACTCCATTGGATGGAGGGATGCTGGCGTTCTGCTCCTCCCCTATGCTGTTGTCTGGGAGGTGCAGCAGGGACCTCTTCTGATAGGAAGGTAGGTTGGTAGACACAATTCCTGGGGAGCCCGAAGTGTGTCTTTGGGGCTAGCAAAGAGAACAGGAGTTAGGAAAGCTTTACAAAGACTTTAAGAAACTGATCCAATAGTTTCATTTCTAGAAACTTAAGGGAAAAACTGGACCAATAAGCAAAGATGTACATACAAAGATGCTTATCCTGGAGCTGTTTATTATAAAAAAAACTGGAAACCTAAATGTCTGTCATTAGAGGACTGGCAAAAAGGATTATGGTATTCTATACAATGGAATTCTAGATAGCCATTAAAAACGATGCTGATTTATACACAGTGACAAGAGAAAGAACATGTATGCCACATGTTAAGTAAAAAAGAAAGATTTAAAAATAGTATGTATAGTGAATCCCTTTTATGTAAAATTATGTATGTGTATAGAATGATAAAACAAGTTTGACAGCATAGGTTATACATTGTGAATGTCATCTTCTATTTTATAACTTTCTGTGTATTGTCTTATTTAAACAAATTAAGTATATGTCATTTTTATGATCAGAAAAAAAATCAATAAATGATTTTATTTTTCTAAGAAAAAAACTACTGAGGCATCATCTACCTATGGCCTGTCTGATAACAGCTCCTGAATTGCCATTTGAAAGAAAGAGGCACAGTCCCTGAGGCTCCCTTCTTACCAAGTCAAAGGTTTTCTTCTCTACCCCATTCTCCTTGACCTCCCTGTGACATCTGACACTGCCGACACCTCTCCTTCTTCCTAAAAAGCTCTTCAGAATGCTCATCCATCCTAATTTCCCTTTTGTTTCCTTTAGAGTCTGACGTGGATTTGCAGGAGCGCTCTACCAGTTACTAGCTGTGTGATCTCTCTGTACCCGTTATGTCACATATAAGATAGGAAACCACCCCCCACGGTAGATTAAATAGGATGCTAATGTGTGCATGTATTAAGCATAGTCTCTTGCACATATTATGTGCTTGATAAATGTTTCTTAAATCAGAAACAGAAAGGAGGTGTGAACAACAGAAAGCTCCTTTGTCCTTGTAAAATATTTTTATCACTTTGCTTATTTTTCTAAAGCAAACATGGTTTTGTATTCCCCTCCTCCCTTGTATGGTAGAGAACCAGCTGAAACCACAGAGGGCACTGAGATAGAAAAGAACCCAGTAATTTCCCTGGGTACAGGACCCTGAAACATTAGTACTATGTCACTGTGGTAGTGAGTCACTTGGGAAATATTCAGTCATTTGGGACTTTCTGCTCTCACCCCCCAGGGCTTGACCTCTCCCCTTCCACCCTGCCCTTTGGGCGTAAGTCCCCCTGGGTCCTGTCATCCGTGGCAGTGGGCCCCACCTGACCTATTACCCTCAAAAAGCTCAGAAGTAGCTCTTCAACGGGCTTTGCCAACTCACATGGTCTGCTCTTGGCTCTTCTTTAAGGTCCACTTTTACCCTTTCCCACAGCTGCTGCCACTTCTCGGGGGTTTGGTTCAATTTATGTTCCAATCTTTCAATTTCCTGCAAAGTAAAGGAAAGGAGTTTTCTGACAGATTGGTATTTCAGAGAAATCAGGATGTGCCCCATAGCCACAGCTCCTCCGTACTAGGCCCAGATGAACAGCATGGCCAGACAGCAGCTAAAGAAATGTGAAAAATGGCTCCTCAGAGGTTCCTCAAGCCACGACAGTGTGGGAGCTCTAGCAGGTGTGACGCGCTGTGGCAACGGTGATTTACTAGGACCTGTAACCAGGCCTTTTCTCATAGAATGACTTAAATAGTAAGAGATGAAATATGTATCCCAAACATGCTCACCCTCGCGCAGCCCCTGGGAAAAGATGGCCACTGGAGAAAGCACTGGGGCCCATGTCCAACCCCTAACAACTGAGGTAGATGAGAAGTCTGTCCCTGACAGAGGAACCCTTCAACTCTGGGGACTCAAAGCAGATGTGGAAAGAATGTACCAAGAAATGCCCAAGGAAATGGATTTTCCTTCTGACAGGAAAGCTGGCAATCTGAGCGGCTGCCTCTGTAAGAGTGAACACTGATACTCCTGTTCAGAAAACCAGAGGGAGAAGACTCTTCAGGAACTGTCTGGCCATACTGGGGCTTAAACTCTTTCCTCAGGGCTGCTGCTTTCATCAAGGTGGCTACTGCCAGGAATAGTTTCACTTCAAAATATTCCTTGCAGAAGGGTTGGCAGAGTTCCCATCAGCTACCTCTACTTCTGACCAGAGGAAGTAAAGCACCCACAAAAGCCATAGCCCAGGCCTGACTCAGGCTGCTTGGGCAGCTATACAGCTTGGAAGTTGCCTGAGGGTGTAAATTATTCTAGTTGCTTGATTGCTCCCTTATTATGATGGAAATGTACTTCTATTGAGCCTCTTTTCCAGTAGCTGAGCCCTGCCCCTCATTGACACCAGGGAGCAAAGCTGGTTTCCTCATACTCTAGGAGTGTACCTATAATGCTAGCCCAGAGTAAGGAGATCCATGTTCAGAAGTCTGTGAACCAGTCTTAGCTTAGTCTGGTTCCTGAGGTCTCATGTGCCCCCAGAGCCCATGCTGCCCCTAGGTATGCATCTACACACTGCTGATTTACACTGAGAAGGCTGGTGAGAGCATCCGGCTGAGTACAGCTGACATCATCATAGCATGGCCACACTGTTCTCCTCTGGCTCTGGGGCCTAGCTCCTCTGGCAGGTTCAGAGTCCTCAGAGGGTAAGTGCTTAGGGGTCAGCATCATCCAGTCATATGAAGGTCCTGTGGACAGGGTCTCCTCTATGTAGTAATCCCACTTCTTGAGGCTGGAGACATTTACATTGGGCTTCAGGGCCTGTAAAAGAAAATTCTGAAATATAGTTTCATCTATATGACTAAGCAAAGTACCCTAAGCTTACTGGCAGGCCAGCCCCTAACACTTGCAGGGTCCAGGGCAAGAGTATAAATGGAGGTTCAAATACCGTATGTCAAAATATTTAAATGTTATGCACCAAGATAAACTACATAGAATATGTTTTTCCTATCTTGACAAATATAACTTCCTAATGACCTGGAAAGCCAGATTCAAATAAAATTCGTGGACTCCTCAGAGTTTCACACCAGAAAGTGTTGGCACTGGGAGAACTGATCCTAGCTCCCAGTCCTTGGCCTGCCCTCCTTTTCTCCCTACCCTGCTCTGTCTTGTGCTGTGAGCCCATGGAGCCAAACACTGTCCACTCCTCCACAATCAGTTACTTCTTGGCCACCCTTTGGCCCTAGGGTATACCCACTGGCTTGGGAGCAGGGCTTTGAATGGGTTCATTCCGGTTTGACCACCTGCTGAGAATTTACATTTCCATCCCAGATACACTGAATCAGAGTCTACAGTTTAACAAGATCCCCAGGTGATCCTTATTCTCCATTTTGTGGTATAATGTAATCACTTCCATGATGTGATCTGATATGATCAGCCAATCAGTGGTAAGAGGAGTTTTCTCGGGGGTGTGGCCTGCATCTAATATATATGGACATTCTGGGAAAGCTCGCTGGCTTTTGCTTACTCTGGATCCTGCAACTGGTTCATTGTCATCTGACCTCTTGTTCCTGGGACCTGAGCCACTGGCCTGCTGTACTGTCTGCCAATCTTGGGATCTGTCAGCCTCCACAGCCTGTGAGCCAGCAGCCTGCTGTCTTATCTGCCAGTCTAGGGTTTGTCAGCCCCTTGAGCTATGTGAGTCATGGACTTGGTACCTGCCAGCCTCTACAGCCATGTGAGCCATTTCCTTGACATAAATCTCTCTCTTTCTCTCTCTATACTTCACTGGTTTTGCTTCTCTGGAGAACCCAGCCCAAGACATGTATATACAAGAATTACCTGGGGATCTTATTAAAATGTAGATTTTGATTCAGTACACTGGGGTGGAAAGGCAAATTCTCAGCAGGGGGTCAAACTGGAATGAACCAGTTCGAAGCCCTGCTTGGGAGACAGACTTGGAGAAGCAGACTGGTACCCACTGCCGTTGAGTCGATTCCGACTCATAGCAACCCTTAATTTGAGCCTGGTAAGTGGGCTCAAATTTAGGCAAGGAATTTCAAGGTACCCGAAGCATGATTTAGATGCAGTAACATGGGTTCTGGGTAAGCACAATACCTTGGCTTCCCAGACTTCCGGCCTCACGAGCAGGAGTGTGGCGAGAGGAGGCCCAGGGCAGGGGCCCCTCTGCCCCTGACTAAGGGTGGTACTGCTTATCAGAACCAGTCTGTTCCATCTGAAAGCCTATTTCAGATGCAGGCTCATGGTACAGCATAGTTGCTTCTGAGATGTCATCCTTTTTTGGCCTGGGCTCCAAACATCCCTGCTTCTCCTAGGGGTCCTTCCACGGCTGTGGTCCAAATGGGCTTGAGGAAATCTTTTCTAAAGTACTTTAGATTTTTCAGATTATACCAACTATTGAGGTTTCAAGTTCTCTTAGTTCTTTTTCCTGGGGAAAGTTACCTTGCTTTGATTTTCTTAATCTCCATTCCATCACAACCCAAACCCAGTGTCTCAAACTTTTAAATAGCCTGTGGTATGGAACCTAGTCAAACGTTTAGAAAAAGTTTAAACAGCTTATATACACTAAAACAAAGGAAAACTTTAACAGAAAATATTCAGAAAATAAAACATAAATGATTTCTTACTGTACCTCTATTTCCATTGGTGAATATAAATAATTAAAGAAAACAGGACTCCTTTTATGTATCCTATCAATACACTCCCAAATACAAATTCCTTTTTTGGCATGCTTGTCTCCTTTATCGTCAAATAAAGTTCCTGTAAAAAAAAAAAAATCCAAAAAATTCAACAAAATAAAGGCAAATAGATCAAAATTTTGCCTGATAATATGATATACATATTAGATGAAAAAGTGGAACGTCCCTTATGGCTCTAGAAACGGTAACACACGTGCAGAAACCTTAGAAGACAACTGCAAAGCTAACAATAGGAACAAGCTTCACAGCTATATGAAAACAAATCCAAATGGAAGGAGACATCTGATAAGGTTTTTGTAAGCTTTTAGCAGTATATCATAACTCTCTTCTAGTCCCTGTCCTCCATGTATCTATGTCTACATTCACAGAGGACTCTGCCAGGAGATATTCTGCACATTTTAAAAGAGAAAATGGAGGGGCTTAAGAGTTGATTTGATGAAACAGTAAAAACATAACTTTGTTTCTTTTTTTAAGTGGCTGGTTATGTGTTATATAGCCATTTAAAGTGTTTTCTTGTTTAGTAGTTTATATATACCACAAATCATTGGCACAAAGACTTTGGATGACAGAAGGGTGTGGTCTATATCCTTAGGTGACTTAATAACACAAGTATTTAGGGAGGCACTTCAGGGGTTTTCTGATGCTCCGTTTGTAGCCTTCAAACAATCTAATCGTGGTACTCACATGAGCCCACTTTATTTTTAATAGGAAGATGTGTCAGGGTAAGGCAGGAGGCATTTCTCCAAAAAGCTAGGTACGGTACCTCTCCTGGCAGTGCTGGCTTGCTTTGAATGAAATGGCTCAGTCAAAAGTCAACAACGATTTTTCCAGTTTGTCAGAAAGGCATGTTTTAAGCCCAAGGTTGCATAAAATCTACAATATGTGGGGCCCCCAAGACTAAATAATATTTTCTCTTAATTATAAGATCTAGTGAGTGGTTCTCAACCTTGGCTGCTTATTAGAAAAACCTAGGGCTTTAAAAGACTCCGATGCCCAGGTCTCACCTCAGACCAATTAAATCAGAATCTCTGGGGATGGGACCCAAGAGTCGTAATTTTTAGTTTCCTAAGTGATTGCAGTGTGCAATGTTAAGACTGATCTAGGGATTGGAATGGATTTTTTACGTCACTCATTTATCCCTCCACTGGGGCCCTGAGGTGTGGATTATACTTAAGGTCTATGTGGAAGTCAGTCCCAACTAAAAGAGGCTCTGGGCACTTTTCACAGGAGGAGAATAAACTGACGCAGGAAGAGATGATGCAACGGTTGGCCTTCCATGCCTTAGGGCAGGTCTCTTTCTCTCTCTGCACTGACAACACCAGGTGATTGCAGACAAGTTCAGGGGACTTTTCTTACAATACCCACACGGCTGGCTTAGGGCAACATATACACCTTAAAAAACAGTTGGAATCATCAGATAGCTAGTTTGAGTCCTGTCAGATCACAACTCTATAATTCAGTATGTAATAATCTTCAGTATGTAATATTAATCTTCTAGGACACAGGGGAGTTAATTGTCTTTAGGCTTTTCTGATGAAACCTTAAAAATTATGACTGACGAATTCCACTAGCAGTGGCTGAAACTCCTTAGTCTCCAATTCTTGGTCTTGGCTGGCAGAGGGTTGTGACCACAGCTGTTCCTAAATGAGGTTTCACTGGTATCTTACTGTGTGGGCTTGAGAACTAGTGCATCCTTCCAAGCATGATGGGAGCAGACCCAAGTAGGCAACCTGGCCTGGACTAGGGACATGAAGCTGGGCTTTTTTTTTTTTAAATGATTTTTTTTTTTTTTTTAATTCTACTTCAGGTGAAGGTTTGTAGAACACATACTTTCTCATTAAACAGTCAGTACACATATTGTTTTATGACATTGGTTAACAACCCCATGACATGTCAACACGCTCCCTTCTTGGCCTTGGAGGACCCTTTTTTTCTTTTTGGTGAAAATATACATAGCCAAAGATACACCATTTCAAAAATTTCTACAACTCAGTTACTTCGATTATGTTCTTCCAGTTGTGCTGCTATTCTCACTTTAAATGAAGGTTTACAGAACAAAATAGTTTCTCATTAAACAGTTAGTACACATATTGCCCTATGACAATGGTTAAGAACTCGACTACATGTCACTACTGTGCTTACTCAACCTTGGGTTCCCTATCACCAGAAGCTGGGCTTTTTCAATGCCAATTAGGTGTGTGGTCCTTGGGTCTTGGGTCACCCATCTGTCCAGAGAGGGGGTTGGATAGAACCCTAAGGTTTCTTCAGCTCTGATATTCTCAGATTCTAAATGCATTTCTATGTATTTTAAGAGAAAACCTCTCTAGGACATAGGATGGAAATACTTATGTTTTCAAATAATCACAACAATCTTTATATTTACACTAAAACATATCCCTTTTATCCATATCATTTTATTTAATCTTTTCAATAATCCCGTGTGATAGGCAGGGCAAGTATCTTGTTCAGTTTTTTGGAAGAGGGAGCTGAGGCTCAGAGAGATGAAGTGATTTACCCACAGCTAGTGCTGTCCGCACTAGGTGGTTCTCAGCCTTGGCTGCACAGTGGAATCACCTACAGAGAGCCTTAAAAGCTATTGATGTCCCACCCCCAGAGATACTGATTAACTGGCCTGGGGGTGTTGCTTGGACAGTGGGAGTTTTAAAAGCTTCCCAGGTGATTGTAACATTTAGTCAAGGCTGGGAACCACAGCACTAGACTTTGCTGCTTTGCTAAGGAAGATAGCCATCCTCTGCTACAGAAAAAGCCTTGATCTTGGTCATATCTGCATGCTGCTAAGATAATTTGCTTATTAGCTTAACTCAGTAAAACTGCTCTATTAAAATAACAAAAAAACTACTCCAGGGAAACACTGTACTTCTCTCAGGCTAATACTGTCTGCATACACTGTTCCTTTCAGTGGTAAAGCTGAGTTGACACGGTGACCCACCCCTTAGTCACTATGAAAGACCGGGCCTGAGACAGCTGTAATCAGCTCTACTTAAGGCCTTCCCAATACATGGGTGCTTAAGAAATTAAGGTTTCTGACTATGATGTGTGGAATGACAACTTTATGAGTCAACAGGGTTGGAAGTATAAATAGGGCGGGAAATGGTCTCACCAGCGCGGCCTCCCTTACGAAAAGTATGAAATGTTTTACTAGACAACAATAGCATGCACTGGGAAGCAGCATTTTCTGAATTCGGATTTTAAACAGAACATCAATAAATGTTTTCTAGCCACTAAAAGAGCCCTCTCTAAATACTGAGGTACATACAATATACCTGGTTTTTTGTTTGCTTGTCTTAACAAAAACATTTATGTGTATCCTCACCCTCCATCCCCTACACCCCAAAAAAAACCCAACAACAAAAGTAATCATGTAAAATCCCCTTGGAGAATATTTTCATAGGGACAGACTGACTTTCAGAATCTATTCTTTAAAATTACTACTGCTATTAAAAATTCTAATAATGATGTCTAAAATTTATTGAGTGCTTACTAAGAAATTTACAAATATATACCTATGTGGACTATTGTCCACATTTTACAGATGAGGAAAACGAAGCTCAGAGAGGTAACTACCTACCCGAAGTACTCAGTTGGTGATTGATTGGCAGTGCTGGTATTTAATCCTGGTCTGTTTGATCTAGAGTCCATGGCCTTAACTGCTATGCACACTGCCTCCAAGGGCAGGCACCCTTTCTATTTCCACCAGGGGTGGAAAAACTATGAATCAAAAATTCCTGCTAAAACAGTGATACCACTCTGGAATATTCAAAATAGTAAACAGGTTTAATTTTATAAAAGAACTACAGAAATGACCACTTGCCTTCCCTAAGAACTAAAAGGAACATATACTCTCAGAATCTGAGCACTCATTTGCATCTACTCTACATTTGTAGTTCAGGGAAAAACCTTAAAATGTCCTTGCCACACCTGGGGTAGTTACTTTATCGAAGTTTTCATTAAAAACACACAACTAACAAAATGAAACAAAAACATAGAAACACGTACCGTGCTCTAATCTGTCATAGTCTGAATCCAGAAGAAATGTTTTAAAGCGATTAGATACGTAGTGGAAAGCCAAGAACTTTAAGTAATATTGATTGAATTCAAACTCAGTTGGATACTGGTTGTGAACCTGAAACACACAAAGCAAAAAAAAAGAAAAAAAAAAGTGAGAAGAACCAAATAAAAGGTGGAATGCTATGACACTGAATGCTAACCTGAGATATACAGGAGACCATCTGGTCACTCATTCAACAAATACTTGACTCCCTACCATGAGTGGAGATAGGAAGGGAACTAGCCTTTTTGAATACCTACTATGTGCCAGATACCATGTTGTTGCGTGCCGCCAAGTTGATTCTGACTGATAGAGACCCTATAGGACACAGCAGAACTGCCTATAGGGTTTCCGAGGCAGAAATCTTTATGGGAGCAGATTGCTGGGTCTTTTCTCCTGTGGAGCCACAAGTGGATTTGAATTGTGGACCTTTCGATTAGCAGCCGAGCACTTACCCATTGCGCCATCAGGGCTCCTTACCAGATACCATGCTAGGTGTTTAAAACATTTTGTTTAATCTTCACAACAACACTGCAAGAAAGATATTACTATCACCAGTTTACAACTGAGAAAAAGCAAGATTAAGTAATTTACACAAGGTCATTCAATAGTAACTGGTGAGCTCAAATTTGAATACTGGCTTATCGGGTTCCAAGATCTGTACCCTACTTATTATATCACACTGTGTTAGGCACTTGACATAAATCAATATAAGTTGTGTTTTTTGCTTTCCAGGAACTTGTGGTGTAATAGTGTGGAATAAAGAAAAACAAAAAAACCCCGTTGCCATCAAGTTGATTCGACTCATGGCTACCCTGTATGTAACAGAGTAGAACTGAGCTCCACAGGGTTTTCTTGGCTGTAATCTTTACAGAAGCAAATTGCAGGCCCTTCTTCTGGTGGCGCTGTTGAGTGGGTTCGTTATCACCAACCTTTCGGTTAATAGTCAAGTGCAAACCATTTGTGCCACCCAGGGACCTAATGTGAAATACAACAAGGAAAACTACTTAGAGAAGTTTGGCAGTGAAAGGAACAAGAAGAGGATGGCTTAAGGGGACAGCAGGAGACATTTTCTGGACAATAGACGTGTGCATGTCTGAAGGCAATGCAGAAGGAGGGAGCCAATAGAGAGAAGAAAATTTTGGAGAAAGAGCTGACAACTAAGAGCACCAAAAAAATCCTAAACCTGTTGCTGATGAGTAGATTCCGACTCATAGAGACACTATAGGACAGAGCAGAACTGCCCCATAGGGTTTCCAAGGAGCAGCTGGTGGATTCGAACTGTCGACCCTTTGGTTAGCAGCTGAGCTCTTAACCACCATACCACCAGGGCTCCAACTAAGAGCAGAAGGCCCTGGAAAAACAAGAATGAATGAGGCTAAGGGTTAGGGAACAGCCTTGGAAATAAAAAGGGATAGAGGAGTAGATAAAGATATGCTCAAGTGCCACAGAAAGAGGGAGGAGCTTATGCCTTTCAACCTTAATTTTTTTCGCAGTAAATCAGGCAGTGAGGTCTCTGGATACAGGCATAAGGCCAAGAGAATGATATGGGACGGAGGGAGGAGGGTGAAGCTTGGAACAGTACTGAGCTATAAGCATACTTTAGACAAGCTGTATGTAGACTCTATGGAGCCATCTTACGTTCTCAGAAGGTAGGCTGATGACTTTGTGACAGACTCTCCAATCTACCTAGTAATTCCACCTCTATATTGCTCAAACAATCTCTCATGACCAGTTAGGGCATTTTCGTTTGGCTGAGACAAGTTCCAGTCATTAACTGTACTAGCTTAAAAGCTGTTTCAAATGAGCACTGCAGGCAGGCTGTGTGTAATCAGCTTTCCTCTCCAAGTTTAATTTGGCAAAGTGGGCCATACTTGGTATGTTCATTGCCCAATGGACCAATGGGAATTAAAGTCATGATCTGGATATCACTGATTTATCAAAGTTTATCATCTGATGAGAAACCTACTTTTCTGTGATGATTAAAGACTTTTTCCCCCTACATTTTATTGGCTTTTTAATGGAACCAAAATTTCAGCTCATAAGCAGTGCAGAGTAAAATGGATTTTAGAAAGATGCAGTAAAATAGTGTGACTCTTACATAGTGGGCCTGCATACAGTGGAGCTGCTTCCCTGACCTGAAACACTGCCTTCTCTGTTGCACCAGGTCACAGGACAGAAGAGCTCTTCGTGGGACACTGTGATACAGCTCTCAGGAGCTACACAGTGTGCCATGCCCCAGGTTTTAAAACTGTACACGCACGTATTGACTGAAATTTCTCATTAGTGAAAACAAAGGGATTAGACAACATGGGTTTCTGTGATGCTGCTACATGAGCAACTGATTACAAAGGCTAAGCATACTTAAGTTTATAGTTATAATTAAGTAAAACTTAAGTCAGTTTGGCATGTATTAGGGATCAACAGTTACTACTTTGTAGCATAATAACTGGGCATAAAAATAAACAGTTCTCCTTTAACAATCATCTGTGTGAGACCAAATGGTCAACACTTACTCTAAAGCAAAGACGAGAAGGCATGGGGGCAAGGAGGCTAGATTACTGGAAAGGAACAACCAGAACAGAAATAATGAGAAAGCTGACACGCTATGTAAAATGTAACCAATGTCACTGAGCAAACTGTGTACAAATTGTTAAATGGGAACCTAATTTGCTGTGTAAACTTTCACAGAAAACACAATAAAATATTATTAAAAAAATAATAAACAGTTCATGTAAGTGGTTATTATAATTAGTAATACTTTCTTCCATTTCTATAATGGAAAATACAATTAAAAAATAGCTTTTCTCTCCTTGCTTTATTAGCCCTCTCTATCTTAGTCTCAACTGTCAACCATGTCCCCTAATATAGCAGTCTTCATTCAAACACTCACCTCATTGATACATATGCAGAAGATTTTTTAACAGCTTTACTGAGATATACTTGACATACAATAAGCTGCATGTTTAAGATGTACAATTTAATGAATTTTGACATATGTACACACCTGTGAAACCATCACAATCAAGATAATGAACATATCCATAGCCCCTCAAAGCTTCCTCACGCTCCTTTATAAATAAACCCTCCCTTTGCCTGCACCAATCACAGATCTGCTGTCACTATAGATTAATTTATATTTTCTAGACTTTTACATAAATTAAATCATAAGCATGTTAGCTTTTTCTTTTTTAACTCTTTACTTGTTTAACAGGTAGCTACCCTATTTGACCACCATCTATTAGTTTGTCATATTGTTGTGGCTTGTGTGTTGCTGTGATGCTGGAAGCTATGCCACTGGTATTTCACATACCAGCAGAGTCACTCATGGTGGACAGGTTTAAGAGGAGCTTCTAGACTAAGACAGACAAAGAGGGACCTGGTGATCTATTTCTAAAAAAAACTGGCCAGGGAAAACCTTATGGATAGCAGCAGAACATTGTCTGATACAGTGCCAGAAGATGAGCCCTCAGGTTGGAAGGCACTCAAAATATGACTGGGGAAGAGCTGCCTCCTCAAAGAATAGTCGACCTTAATGATGTGGATGGAGTAAAGGTTTTAAGACCTTCATTTGCTGATGTGGCAAGACTCAAAAAGAAAAGAAATGGCTGCAAACATCCATTAATAATTGGAACATGGAATGTATGAAGTATGAATCTAGGAAAATTAGAAGTTGTCAAAAATGAAATGGAAAGCATAAAAATCAATATCCTAGGCATTACTGAGCTGCAATGGACTGGTATTGGCCATTTTGAATCAGATAATCATATGGTCTACTATGTTGGGAATGACAAATTGAAGAGGAATGGCATCACATTCATCATCAAAAAGAACATTTCAAGATCTATCCTGAAGTACAACGCTGTCAGTGATAGGATAATATCCATACACCTACAAGGAAGACCAGTTAATACGACTATTATTCAAATTTATGCACCAAACACTGATGCCAAAGATGAAGAAATCAAAGATTTTTACTAACTTCTGCAATCTGAAATTGATCAAACATGCAATTAAGATGCACTGATAATTACTGGTGATTGGAATGCAAAAGTTGGAAACAAAGGTTGGTAGTTGGAAAATATGGCCTTGGTGACAGAAATGACGCCAGAGACCACATGATAGAATTTTGTAAGACCAACAACTTCTTCACTGCAAATATTTTTTTCAATAACATAAACGGCGACTATACATGTGGACCTCGCCAGTGGAATACCAAGGAATCAAGTCAACTACACCTGTGGAAAGAGAGGATGGAGAAGTTCAGTATCATCAGTCGGAACAAGGCCAGGAGCTGACTGTGGAACAGAACAATTGTTCATATGCAAGTTCAAGTTGAAGCTGAAGAAAATCAAAACAAGTCCATGAGAGCCAAAGTATGACCTTGAGTATATCCCACCTGAATTTAGAGACCATCTCAAGAATAGATTTGACGCACTGAACACTAATGACTGAAGACCAGACAAGTTGTGGGATGACATCAAGGACATCACACATGAAGAAAGCAGAAGGTAATTAAAAAGACAGGAAATAAAGAAAAGACTAAAATGGATGTCAGAAGAGACTATGAAACTTGCTTTTCAATGTGGAGTAAGTAGCTAAAGCAAATGGAAGAAACGATGAAGTAAAAGAGATGAACAGAAGATTTCAAAAGGCAGCTCGAGAAGACAAAGTAAAATATTATAATGAAATGTGCAAAGACGTGAAGTTAGAAAACCAAAGGGAAGAACACACTCAGCTTTTCTCAAGCTGCAAGAACTGAAGAAAAATTCAAGCCTCAAGTTGCAATACTGAAGGATTTTATAGGCAAAATATTGAATGACGCAGGAAGCATCAAAAGAAGATGGAAGGAATACATAGAGTCATTGTACCAAAAAGAACTGGTTGATGTTCAGCCATTTCAGGAGGTAGCATATGATCAAGAACCAATGGTACTGAAGGAAGAAGTGCAAGCTGCACTGAAGGCATTGGTGAAAAACAAGGCTCTAGGAATTGATGGAATACCAAGTGAGATGTTTCAACAAATGGATGCAACACTGCAAGTGCTCACTTGTCTATGCCAAGAAATTTGGAAG